GTTGTTCGGTCTCTCTGTTCGTGTTGGTTGGCTTGTAAGAGTTGTATTTCTGACGCTAGAGAGGTGAGATGACAGCGGGAGCGTTGAAGCGTGCATGCCATCACGTGTGCAAGCAGCCCCGCTCCGCCCCGCTCAACCCTCAAACATGGCTCTATGGGGTCAGTTCACGTATGGGAGGGGAGCGCCGCGCGGGCTGCCAGGAGCGAGCGGGGGCGGGGGTTGCCCTGAGGGTGATTTCTCCCCCAGGGGGAGGGGAAATTGCGATTTCCCCAACCTGTTTCTCTCCCTCATTTCCCGTTCCCCTGCTTCGCCGCCGCACCACCAGCACCTGAACATCACTCATGAGCGCTGGGAGGGGCCGCGCGGCCCCTCCGGGAGACAGCAGCGGCGGCGCGGATGGGGACCCTTTGGGGTGCAAGGAAGCTGAGCTGCGCGCCGTCCAGTGCGTCTTCAAGCACGTCCTGGGGCTGGGCGGCAAGCATAAGGCTGCTGCAACCGCGCCCCAGCCGCGCCTCAACTTTGAAGGGCCAGAGGCGACTGCTTTTGCGGCTGCCCACGGCCGGGCAGTGACGCTGGGCGACGTGCTGATGCACCGGAGCAACTTCGTGGCGCTCAACCTGCAGCAGCACTTTGCTGGCCCGCTCCGGGCGGCGGCGGCGGCGGCGCAGGGCGGGCCGCTGCCGCAGCACGCCAAGCTGCCCTGTCCCAACTGCCTGAAGTTCACTCTCATCTCCAAGGGGCCGCAGCTGCCCAACATCCGCAAGCTGGCGATGCCTGGAGGCGCCGCCTATGTTCTGCCTTTCAAGCTGAAGTGCGAGCCTTGCAGCCGTGAGTCGAGGGAGCGGCGGCCATGCGGTGGCCGAGCACGCGTTTGCGGCGCCCCGGCGGCTGGCTGCTGCTGATTGTGAGTGTGCACAGCTGACTGTGAGAGTGCACACTTCCTTGCTTGTAGGCCAATACAGCACTACGAGTGAGGAGCTGTACGCCGCGCTGCGCATCGTTGACCTGGGCTTCATTGCCGACGCGGTGCCCGCCGTCTTCTCCAAGAAGGGTGCCCTGCACAAGGACCTGCTGGCCCAGCTCATCCTGGACTACGAGTCTGGCCTCTCTATTGAGGTGTGTTCATGGCACCGCTGCGGTGCTGGGGTGGGTGGGGCCGATGGATTGGGGCGAGGGGCCCTGATCGCATGTCGTTTAGCCCGTCGCCTGCCCATCCATCGCGTCTCGTCCCCACCCCCCGCAGGCCGCCATACAGCGCGTGCGCACGAGGATGGAGGCCTGGCGCGTGCAGGTGCTGCTGGACTTCTACGGCATGAGCCGCATTGGCGGCCAGCATCGTGTGCTGCCTGCAGATGTGGAAGCGGCCGCCAAGCACGACTGGCCGCTGCCGGTGAGAAAGCAGGGAGCGGGCGGAGTCGACCTGGCCGGCGCGGGGCTCGGCCTGCCAGCGTGCGCGGCACCACCCAGCTGTCGAGGGAGCGGCGCGCCACCGCCGCGACCGGCTTGCCCTCCCACGGACTCGTGGGCACCCCTCGTCTCTCAGAGAGCCCCCTCCTCTCCCACAGCGCATTACCCCTGCCCTCCTCTCCCTGCCTGCCCACATGCAGTTCCTGAGCGCAACCTACGTGCGCACGATGCTGGATGTCCACATGGAGGAGCGGCGGCAACTGAAGCGGGCCGTGCTGGCGGGCATCGACGCGGGCCCCCACCGCGCTGTGAGCTGCGACCACACCTTTGCAACCGCCAAGAAGATCACCAGCAACGGGAGCAAGCCGTACGAGGCCATCTTCAACATGCTCAACTCGGTGGGCGAGGTCATGCTCTCGGTGCGTGCAACAACTCTGCCGGCGCTGCATGTCGGCGCTGCCGCTCTTGCTGGCCGCCTGCCATTCAGCCCACTACCTCTCATTACCTTCCCCTGCTCCCTCCGCCGCTCTCATCGGTGCCTGCTGGTCGCTTGCCCCTTGCTGCCCCCAAACCCCCACCGCCGTCCCATGTTGCCCACCCCTGCCGCCCCGACTCCCAGCAGATCGGCGTGCAGACCACCAGCATGCAGGAGGTCAAGCCCGCGTTACAACGCTTGCGGGACAACATTGAGCGCAGCGGCGGCCAGGTGAGTGCGGCGGGGGGCAAGGGACGCATGGGCGGCTGCTTGCCTCCCCCCCCACCCGCTCCCCCCTCACCCCTCCACCCCCTCACCCCTCACCCCCTCCCCCCTCACCCACCGGTGCCTCGCATCGCTTCCCTTCCTGCAGCAACCGCTGTATTGGTGGGTGGACTGGCCGCAGGGCATGATGCGGGTGATCCTGGAGGTCTGGCCTGAGGCCATCGTCAAGCAAGACTACTTCCACGTGCTGAAGCGCTTCTCGGACGCCATGCCGCACAACCACTCTGCCCGGGGTGAGCTGCAGGGTTAAATGTGCGTGTGGCGGGGGAGCGCTGGTGCGGGGCTGGGCAAGCAGGCAGCGGCGATCATGCGCGGGCGGTGCATCAACGGCCAGCGGCCTAGGGGGCTGCGACGCTGCCCGGCTGCGACGCTGCCCGGCTGTCCACCAGCGTTGTAACTGCAGCGCATACTGTTGCACTCATTGCCCTCGCCTCGTGCCCTGACTCCATGCAGGCGCTGCCATGGCGGAACTACGCGACGCACTCCAGAAGCCGTTCATCTACGATAGCAAGGACCGCGAGCTCGTCAATGCCTGGAAGCAGCAACACAACCTCAGCGTTGCTGCCCCGCTCCCCACCAAGGACCCGGCGTTCCGCCGGTTCTGGTCGGCAAAGGGCAGGCGCTGGCAGCACCCCCTACGCGAGGACGGCCTCCGCCGCTTCCAGGGCTGGGCCAAGGCCTGGTCCGCCGCCAACCCCACCTGCGAGATCACGGGCAAGCCCCTCATCACCGACGCCGTGCTTAAGCTCATCACCAGCAGCGAGGCACTCATCGCAGTAGGCTTCTTGGAGGGTGCGTGAGCTTGGCAGCGGCATGACTTGTGGTTGAGGAGCTGCCCTATGCAACCGCCGCCACGTCACCCACCCAATGGTTGCAGCCCCTGCACTCCTGCAGACCCGCTCCCCACCCAGGACATGTACTATGAGGACGCCAACGGCAAACCGCGCACCATCCGCAGTTCCAGCCAGCTGGAGTGCTTGAACCGCTACATGCGGGCTGCTGTGCCCGGTACCAAGATGGGGCCCAAGAACGCGGACGCCGCCATCCTCAACTTTCAGTTCAGGCGCGCTGAGGGGCGGCATTGGGGGAGGGGGGCCTGCCCTGCTGGACGCATCCCACATGCGCCGCCCTCCCGCCCCGCCCTGCTGTCAATGCATCTCGCATGTGCCCCCCTGATCCTCAGCCTACCATACCCCCTGCCCCTTGTCCCCTGGCCCCAGGTACACCGTCGAGGCGCGCCCCCGCACGCGCCCAGACAAGTTCAAGCCGTACCCCTGCGGCGACCATCACCTGTTGTACGATGCGCGCCAAGCTGCGCGTGCGGCGGGCTGCCCCGAGGGCAGCCTGCCGTTCCCCGGCATCAGCGAGCCCAAGCCCCCCCTCACTGCAGCCGACTTCATCGGCTGCCTGTTGGTGCCGCGCTCGCTGGCTGCGCTGGCAGGGGAGCTGCCGAGCGATGCGGCGGCAGCGGCGGCGCGTGGCAGCGGGAGCACTGCCGACGCCATTGCGCGCACGCAGCGGCGGCTCAAGGCGAGCCTCGAGCAGGCTACTACCAAGTCCAAGCTCAACGACCCGGGCGGCGCACTGCAGGCGATGTTTCGGGCAGCTGAGCTCGAGGCGCTCCTGGCGCAGCTGCAGCCGGCGACGCCAAGGGCCGAGGAGAGCGCGGAGCTGGAGAGCTGGATGGAGGCCGACGACTTGGTAGAGGAGGTGGCGGGCACGGTACGTGACGCTGCGCATCTGCCGCCTGTCGGCCACCCTCAAGTTGAGCGCTCCCGCTCAGCCAGCGATGCCCCTTTGCCCTTCCTCCCCTGCAGGCTGCGCGGGCTGTGGCGGCCGACTGGGAACTGTACGCAGTTGAGGAGGAGAGCCCGGTGCGGGGGCCAGGGTGGGGGCCTGGCGGCGCTGCAGCAGGGGCCTGCCGGCGCAGCACCCTCTGCTCAGCAGTGAATGCATGGGCGCCCACGCTCTTGAGCGCGCCGCCCCGCCGTCCCCTCCTCTCCCTGCAGGCCGCGCGTGCTGCGGAGGGCTCGGGGCGGCCTGCTGATGCGGAAGCGCCAGCCGAGGAGCAGAGCCGGGTGCGGGGGTCAGGAGGGAGGGGGGCTGCTGGGGGCGCAGCAACGGGGGGCTGGCGGCGCTGCAGCAGGGGCCTGCCGGCGCAGCACCCTCTCCTCAGCAGTGAATGCATGGGCGCCCACGCTCTTGAGCGCGCCGCCCCGCCGTCCCCTCCTCTCCCTGCAGGCCGCGCGTGCTGCAGAGGGCTTGGGGCCACCTGTCGACGGCGCCGAACAGGCAGGTGCCAGGCCACGCCGCACGCCGCAGCACCGGCGGCGCTGGAGTGAAATTGCTGGCAGCAGCGACGAGGATGCAAGCGAGGCGCGCAGCCCCCAGCGTCAGCGGCGCACGGTGCGTACGGCGACGGCAGCATCGCCGCCTGGCGCCCGGTCCAGCAGCGCCACACGCAGCCACTCCATCGTCCGCCGCGCCCCGGCTGTGGCGTTGGCCTTCCCCCCACCGCACTGCGAGGAGACGTATGCATACCTTTGGGAGCTGCTGGCCGCGCGGAGCGGCAGAGTGCCGCAGGACGGCCAGCGGTGGGAGGACCTGGCGGCAGAGTGGACGGCAGGCTTGGCGCCGCGCCTTGATGCGGCTGCCCGCAGCTGCACCACGACAGCGCTCAAGCCCACAACCGGCAAGTTCCTCAAGGAGTTCTACGAGGCCCAGCAGCAGCGCTTCGCAGCAGCCGCTGCGCAGGACCCCAACGCGCCAGCCGCCGCCGCCGCGGCTACGCTGGCTGCCGCGGATGCAGCGGCAGCGGCGCCAACAGCGGCAGCTGCGGAGGCGGCGGCAGCGGCGGCAACGGCGGCAGCTGCGGAGGCGGCGGCAACGGCGGCAGCTGTCGGCGGTACCCCAGGCGGTGCCACCGCCGTTGCTTCTGGCCCCATCGTGCTCAGCCCCGCGCCGGCCTTGGTGGAGCAGCAGCAGCAGCGGTCAAGCGGCATTGCTGGGCGCGGCGGTCGCGGGCAGGGGCATGCTGGGCGCAGCCAAGGCCGTGCTGCCCGCAAAGGCCCAAACCTTTGCCGCGGCTGCCGTTACTACCTCGACTGGCCTGTGCAGTTGACCACCGTGCACAGCCTGCAGTGCAAGTGGTACAAGGCGTTCAACGAGCGCTTAACCGAACAGCAACGGCAGCAGGTGTCGCGCAAGTGGAGCAAGGCCAAGACGGCAGATGAGGCCTTCCGCGCCAAGGGCAGCGGGAGCAGCGAGGAGCGCGCGGCGGCGGCGGCAGCGCGGCGCGCAGAGCTGGAGCGGCAAGGCATCGCCTGGCCAGAGGCATCGCCCGCAGCAGCAGGCCCCGCAGCGGCGGCGGCTGGAGGGGCGGCAGCAGGAGCAGGAGCGGCGAGAGCGGCGGCTGGAGCGGCGGCAGGAGCGGCGGCAGGAGGGGCGGGAGCGGCGGCAGGAGCGGCGGCAGGAGGGGCGGGAGCGGCGGCAGGAGCGGCGGCAGGAGGGGCGGGAGCGGCGGCAACCTCCAACCGAATCGCTGCTATGTGGTCAAACTTTACAGGCATCAGCCTCCAGCGCCGCGCATGATGTAATCATGCAACACTGCAAGGAGGTGGAGCAAGGGGGCATGCAAATGCAAGGCCCGTCGGCGCGGCGCAATGTCAGAGCATGCAGATGGTTGGGCACTTACCTCCCTCCCTCAACTCCTGTTCTTGCATGCCCGCCTCAGCCTGCATCTTATTTGCCTCCAGCCCCTGCCAGCATTGCAACTGCATCCTGGAGAGCCCCAGCCCTTGCCAACATTGCTGCTGCCTGCCCCAGCCCTGACATCATTGCTGCTGCATTCTGGAGAGCCCCAGCCTCTGCCAGCACTGCAGCTGCATCCTGGAGGGCCCCAGCCCCTGCCAGCACTGCTGCTGCATCCTTGAGAGCCCAGCCCTTTGCCAACACTGCTGCTGCCTGCCCCAGCCCTGCCAGCACTGCTGCAGCATCCTGGAGAGCCCAGCCCTCTGACAACACTGCTGCTGCCTGCCCCAGCCCTTGCCAGCACTGCTGTTGCATGCCCCAGCCCCTGTCAGCACTGCTGCTGCATCCTGGAGAGCCCCAGCCCTTGCCAGCACTGCTGTTGCATGCCCCAGCCCCTGCCAGCACTGCTGCAGCATCCTGGAGAGCCCAGCCCTCTGCCAGCACTGCTGCTACCTGCCCTAGCCCTGCCATCACTGCTGCTGCATTCTGGAGAGTCCCAGCCTCTGCCAACAATGCAGCTGCATCATGGAGAGCCCCAACCTCTGCCAACACTGCAGCTGCCTGCCCCAGCCCTGACATCATTGCTGCTGCATTCTGGAGAGCCCCAGCCTCTGCCAGCACTGCAGCTGCATCCTGGAGAGCCCCAGCCCCTGCCAGCACTGCTGCTGCATCCTTGAGAGCCCAGCCCTTTGCCAACACTGCTGCTGCCTGCCCCAGCCCTGCCAGCACTGCTGCTGCATCCTAGAGAGCCCCAGGCCTTGCCAGCACTGCTGCTGCCTGCCCCAGCCCCTGCCAGCACTGCTGCTGCCTGCCCCAGCCCCTGTCAGCACTGCTGCTGCATCCTGGAGAGCCCCAGCCCTTGCCAGCACTGCTGTTGCATGCCCCAGCCCCTGCCAGCACTGCTGCAGCATCCTGGAGAGCCCAGCCCTCTGCCAACACTGCTGCTGCATCCTGGAGAGCCCAGTCCTCTGCCAGCACTGCTGCTGCCTGCCCTAGCCCTGCCATCACTGCTGCTGCATTCTGGAGAGTCCCAGCCCTCTGACAACACTGCTGCTGCCTGCCCCAGCCCTGCCATCACTGCTCCTGCATCCTGGAGAGCCCCAGCCTCTGCCAACACTGCTGCTTCATCCTGGAGAGCCCAAGCCTCTGCCATCACTGCTGCTGCATGCTGGAGAGCCCCAGCCTCTGCCAACACTGCAGCTGCATGCCCCAGCCCAATGCCAACACTGCTGCTGCATCCTGGAGGGCCCAACCCTCTGCCAGCAATGCAAGGGCGGCGGCGGCGGCGGAAGCCCTCTGGCGCGATCAGCTTCCTCAGAGCTCTTTCCTGGCTGTTACTACACATGGGACTCTCTGGGGGGTGTTGCAGCGCGCCAGGACGCCTGGAGACCGGGAACACTCGGGCATCACCCTCGCCCGTCTTCTTGTTCAGCTAGCCACTGCTTTGCTCGAGCTTCAGCGATCACAAGGAGGGAAATGACACGGCGCAGGCCGCTTCAGAGCCGAGGCCCCGAGCCCGCGTGGGGCGAACTTCCTTCCGTTTGGTGCTCGCGGCGCGCTGCGCGCGCCAATTTCCCCCTCCTTCTCCCCTCCTCCTCCCTCCCCCCTCCCCCTGTATTTTCGGCCCCTTCGGGGCCCTCCCCCTGTATGAGCGATTTCCCTCCTGAGGGAGGGTGCCACATCAGGGGGCAACACATGTTGCCTAAGTAGCTGCAATCAAAAATGCTGATTGAATTGAAACAAGCAATCAGGAGATACAGTTCCAAGAAATGCAATAAGCAGGAGGAACTGCGTCATCCGGTGCCTGCCACGGCTGCTTGAGCTGCCGGCGCTGCCGCCTGTGCCTGCTCACTGCCCGTCGCATTGGCGCTTCCAATGCCTGCGACGGTCTGCGACGCCTCATTTGGTGGCTGCTGCGGTGGCGGTGGAGAGAACGATTTCCTGAATTGTCGGCGCTCGTGCTGCAATCCAAGCCCATAGGATGGGCAGCTATACACATGCAGCTCAACATCAGGGTCCCGCCACCGCAGCAGCTGGCATGCCAGCACTTTGCTTTCCCCGCTTGGTAGGCATTCTGCACAAGACACAGGTTTCAGGCGGTGCTGAGGCAAAATTACAGGGTGACCCCGCTGTTGCCCGAGCCTACTGCACCCTCCAACCAACAGGTGTGCAGCGGAGCACTCACTCTCATCGTCCAGGAACCACAACAGTTGCTGCTTGAAGATATCCAGCTTCTGCTGGTAATTGGCACAGAGAGGGTGCAAGAAGAGGACTGCAGAGATGACAGCGCAATGCAGGGGAGCGGCTGCAAGGCTGGGTGACGGACCAAGAGCTGCGCCACAGCAAGACCGCATCAAAACCATGGCGGAAATAGGCTTGCCAGCACAACGCGGGTGTGAACCAGGCCTGCTCACTTTGCCAGTCGCACGTGTCGAACATCGGCGCCAAGTGTGGTCTGCTGAGGGTGCAGATGTCGTCGATGTACGGGTAGTAGCCGGGTTGAAACGCCCGAAACAAGGCAATGATCTGGTGTGTTTGGTCCAGCTACAGAGCATGGGAAGAAGACCAGCGTCAATTGGGTGTTGAGCAATGCACATGAACGGGTGCAACCAGGGCAGCCCTGGTCTCACTTCGTCACGAGCTGCCGCACATGGCTTTGCGCCTGTGCATCTCTTCCAAGCTCTGTTATTCAAGCGGTCGAGCCCCTGTTGGTCATGTTCATTTCTCTTAATCATGTCTGCCGACATGGCCGTCCACTGCTCAAACATGGCCAGCACGCCTGGGGTCGGGAGTACGACATAGTTTCCCCCGTTCACTGCGAGACGCAACATTGAGAGGCGAGACCGATACGCCCATGAATGAGACTGACTCGGGAATTGGCTGCCATAGTGCAATGCAGCTGTGGCAGCTTGCGAGGCAAGTCTGAGCATCACCTGACAGATACTCAGCCTGGAAGGCTCCATCCACTCGGCCGTGTTCAATGAAAGCAAGGTAGCTCTGCCAGGCGGGCTTCATTGTGTACACAACATCGCTGTCTGCAAGAGCAGCACCCACTTGGCTGTGCGGCCATCCACGCAATGCGCACTGGCCATCAGCCCCCCCCCCCCCCAAAACAAAAAACGGGG